CACTCTTTGTCCGCGCACTTTATTAAGTCCACCGGAAACTGCATTTTTTAACACGTTAAGCGCCGTGTCAGTTCACCGCTGACTGACGCCACGCTGACCGTTCCGGCCGCGTTAGGATCGTTTCAGACATTATGCCTTTCTGTTAGCGCATTTTAAGCCTCTATGGGCCGAATTTTTTTCTTAAATATAAAAAAATTCATCCAACGGAGAATCTATTATCATAAACCTATATATGCTAGTTTAAAAAATATTTAACAGTTTAAACAACTTTATTATAATTAATTCAATTTGTAACTTTGAAGTAACAACGGCTGGTAAATGCTACTGGATGATCTTCATCGGACTCAGAATCTAAAAAAGAATCTTCGGATCTATTACCGCTAATGCGTCGAATTCTAATTCCTCTTTTATTTTTATATGATTTTGTATCCGTATTTTGGGGGTATTTGATATATAAATTTGAAAATAGAAGAAATACACTCGAATCTACAACAATATCTCAATGTAACCTGAAAGTTACAAAACTGTATCATGTACAAATAGTAACAAAATAATTATTGAAATGCAAATAAATAAATTGTTAGTGATATACGAACCGAGAGCTGTTTTTTTCGGTTTTTTTTTTTATTTAGTAAACACCGACAAAAGCACAAATAATCTCAATTGCACAAGATGGTCCCTTTGGTTTCTATCTGCAGACAACTTGCAAGGCATTTATTTTGACATTTCAGGTTGACGGTGCTGCCAACCGTCATCAATATTGTTATTAATTATTTCAGAGGCATTATATAATTAAGACGTAAGCATCATCTTGTGAAAAAAAAACTAAAACTATTTGGTAAAATGTGGATATATTAGCTTGTGACATGAAAGTTACATGGGCCCATAGAGGATTAAATAATTCGGCGATCGTAAGTGAATGCATTTACTCGAATGCTGTCGGTTGTTACCAAACGAAAACGTTAAAGAGCGTTATTAAAAGCCGGTGTTCTGGCAGCTTTCGCAGAATGTTGTAACGCTGGCTAAACGGAATGGAAGGCAAAACAGGCTCGGCGCTTAACGTGTTAAAGTTCGGGTTCCGCGACAGTTTACCGGAAGTTTGATCAAATGGAGGACGCTATCTTCGGGCTGTGAAAAGGGCCCGGGAAATCGTCCCTCGAGAAGTTGCCGTGTTTGCGACGAGTATACTCGACCTGACAATATTTTCCATTGACGAGTATACTCGTCGCAATAATGATTTAACTGATGGGTATACTCGTCGCAATAAACATTTAATTGACGAACATTTATATATTTTGTTGGAATAAAATGACAGTTCCTTGCTTATTGACATGTATATTTGCAATTCTTTGATCATCCGTTGTGATAAAATGTGTTTTCATTTATTATTGCAAGTAGACTGCGGATTTTTATGCAAAATAAAAATTGTCTTCATTAATTGCAAGATGTAGGAGCAACATAGACATTTATTTCTTTCCTTAATCATTCTAATGATGATACAATAATAATAATAATAATAATAATAATAATAAAATAATAAAATAATAAAATAATAAAATAATAAAATAATAATAATAATAATAATAATAATAATAATACATAATATATTCAAATAAATATTCATATAAATGCTTTTGTTATCTTGCATTCGATCTATTCATTTTGACAATATCATTAATGACAATGATAATTCATAATAAATTTTTTGTCATTAATGACATTAATAACCCGCAGTTTAATGATGATAGATAACAATTGTTTGTTTATTCACGAGTATGCTCGTAATGGGAAAAATTCGCTTTCACCATTTAAAGAACACATTCGTAATTTTCACATATTTTAGAATGGTAATGAACTCGACAGCATACAGAAATCGCGACAATAGAAAGCAATGAGACAGAATCTTTCTTCAAGATCGAATCAATTTTTTAATTACTAATTTGTTCTTAGGTTAACTTATTAGTACCGAAATTGTCTGGGATTTGTGGATTTCACCTAATCTGGATTTATATTTCACCTTCTAAAATCATAAAAGCAGATTCGCATTAGTTGTGATGATGTGATCAGCTTCGCGAAAATTAAACGAGTAAATATGTATATAATTAGTACTGTTTTTAATTCGTTAATTATTAGCTTTAATTTATTTGGTAATCTCTGTATCATATGTATATCTATTTAACATTGTTCGATTTATTTCACAGGCAGTGGGAACTTTGTTAGGAAATATTTCTCAATTCTGGCACTCAACGATAATACGGACAACGTATTCTAGCATAAAACATCTGTATTGCCATAAGGGCTAATGGACAGTAGTACTATCCATCGAATGAAGGAGAACGGTTCTGACTAAACTAGGTCAAAAAACTGATATCTTTGAAACAGTGAACATTTTTTTCAGTCTGTTCACTTTTAATGCTGTAGCTTTAGCTGCTGGAGTCTAGTATGACGGGAAAGCAGGGGATTATCTGTCCTCTTCATATTTTATACACACGTATCATGACACAGGATTATCTTACCATCAGGCTTCACTAGCGAAATGTCGGAGCCACGACGTGAAATACAGAATGCTTATGAAACAGTTAGAACACGACGCGACATTTTTTAAGGTGGAATTGCACGAGATTCGCATTTTTTTTATCGCTTGTGCCATTTGATTGACAACAGAATTTCTTGTCGAACTTATTTGACGCTTGTTCGGCGAAGATAAAAAAAGAAATTCTTAAGTATCGATAAAATTGAATTTAACGACATTTCATAGCCAAATCACTATTTTATGCCTGGCGAAAGAGATGATAAAATTTATTCAACAATATAAACATTGTACAAAATACTAAAGAATATTTCTTTTTATAACTTTCGATGTTGTCTTTTGTTTGTGCATTCAAGTTCGCGAAAAAAACCCGGGTCTTCTCATTTTTAATCACGGCAGTACGTATTCCTACAGAATTAAAAATGAAAGATAAACAAGTTTTCACTTTTCGTTGCTTCTTCGGGATAGATTTCATTCGCGATTAATCGCATCTCCGTTCTAACAAGTATCGCTATCATCGGTTTAAGCGTGCACGACGTCTTAAAATAATTCCACGAAATTCAGCGACAGTGTTCGTACTGGCGCAACGCTGAAAGTACTCCTCTTCACCGTTATTATTTACGAGAGCAATTTTCTTCATGACAAGCAAGAATCGATAAGAGCTATGGCGGAACTCGTTGGCCGCTTTCAACCTTAGAAGAAAACTTCAATTATCCAAATTATATTTTTGGCAAAATATAGGTTCGCTTCATTTCAATAAAAATCTTGAAATTAAATCTCTCCGCTCGACGAAGGAATAGACCTGCAATTTGCGATCGTTCACTCGCGAAGTATAATTAAATGAAAAAAGAAAGAAAACGAGTGCTCGCGTAATTCCGATAGCGAGCCAAAAAAAAAGACACACTTTCTGTACCGAAAAATATCATTGATTTGAAAGTAGACGATTTAGAAACGTCAATTTTGCGCATTCCATCATACGCGTACATATGTGATAATTTTAAAAATTATTAAATTATGTCGAATGTTACTAATACTTCGAATTTTTTTTCTCTAGGATGAAAAAGGAATTCTATTGAAAAATAGCACTGCCAAGCTATCCAGGATGCTGAGCAAGAGCCCGGTTGAAAGGGATGTAACCTTCGGGTCGACTGCTCACAAACCGTGCAGCCATAAGTCATGGGAACCGACACATCGTCCCGGAAACCAAAATAGCTAAAGGAAGATCAAAATTTATTTCACGGCGGAACGTGCGCTGGTTGATCGGAACAGTTTCACTCTTTGAAAATCAATTCCGCAGAACATGCACCGATCGGCATTATCTTTCAGCTGAAAATTCAATTAAATTAATTATTGCACCGCTGCTATTTGTACTCTCGCAATCTAATTAAAAGATAACCAAAAAGATGTTCTTGACATATCAAAAATAAAGTTATCTTCGTGGAGTTACAAATGGATAATTATTAAATGCAATGTATTTTACTGCATCTTTTTTTGCTTTAAAAGCTATTTTTAACATTCCAAATGTAATGATTTTGTAGACAATTACACACGAACGATTGTTAAATACTTGAAATTTTCCTTCCACAATGTAACTTCGTATGAAAGATGATATTTTTTCAATATTTGAAATATAATGATTTTGTAGGCAGTAACAAATAAATGATTGTTAAGTGCAACGCATATTTCGGCATCTTTTATACTTCGCTCTCATAACGCAACTCCGAATGTATTCCTGTTATTCCAAAAACTTCCCGCGATATGCGCCATGCCAAAAGTACCAGTTTACAAACGGAGGATTTACAAGCGAGTTTGGAGAACCCGAAACCATGAATGCCCGACGTTTAGGTAGTCGGGAAGAGAGACCGAATAAGAATATCGGAAATCCCGAAATTTCGGGTGCCCGAGACACGTTCCCGAGCAAACTTTGTTACGAACGGTGACCGACTTCTAGCATTTTCTAAGCGCATGATATTTCTCGATGCAAAGTTGTTCGAAAAAGAAATAAAAAAAAATACAAAACCATCGCGCTGCTTCCTCGATTGTGCTTTACGACGATCCTCGACGTTGATCTTTTCTTAATCGATCTGAGCTGCGATCATAATTGGAGTTTACGTGTCCGCGATCGACGTAAATAGACGAAATCGTCGGCTGATAAAGCTTTAATCCCGTCCGGCGAGGTTCCTACGTTATTTTCATCGTTGTTAAAGCCGCGAGCGAGGTAAATAAAGTGCAGTCCGAGTCCTGTTTTTGTAATCAGCTTCGAAGCAAACGAATTTGCATAGAAATTCACCGGACTATTTATTATGTTCGCTATCGAGCGCACTAGTTGACACATAATTATCCGCTGTAACTAGCCCGTTAATCCATGCAGGATGATCTAAATTGCTCGGGCACACCTTCGATCTGTCTCGAAAGCGATACGTTCGGCTGGTTTGTTTGTTTGTTTGTTTTTTTCACAGTGAGACACCTGTTATGATAGCACACGTTTTATTCGGTCATATTGCGTACAATCGGGGAATAGAAAAAAAATGTGTACCGCGTACTTACACATTATACAGCGTAAACCAATGACACACAGCAGCTTCAACACCTTCAAAACTCTGTAGATAGGAGTAGAAAAATATGATCTCTCGATAATTCTGTTCGACGCGCGTCACGCAGGCTAGAATGGAACACAATCATCTCGATTAGACGTTTTAGGTACGACGACGCTTGTTTAATGCGATTAAACGCTCGTAGCGTTTGTACGGCGAGTTAGTATTCTCGACGAAGCCTATCTTGCGAGATTTTGTTAATAATATACAGAGAACTCCGACGAACTTATGAAAGGAAAGACAACTGCTGTAGATCGTTAACGTCGAAACGAACAGTTGCTCGAGATGCGCCGTAATTTTGTACTTTATTTTACAACAAGAAATTCGTAAATGTCGAGCAGATCTCAATTAAGAATCACCGAACGAACCTGTAATTTCTCGCGTGTCCAGCGAGAGGAAAACGAGAAACAGAAAGAGAGAAAAGGATTGATGGACGAGGCGAGGAAAAAACATGGTAGCCAATCGCGAGAAGACATTTGTTTCGTCGCTCTGTTCATTCATTTTTTTTTTTCAGTCTTATTGGTACCTATACTAATTGCGAGTCGAAGATCAGGACAATGCCGCGGTTCAACACACGAAGCTGCGAACGACAATGAGAATGCCGCGCGATACGCACTCACGCATCTGTTTCTACGGAACTTTTCACGCAACAGCCGAGATATATGTAGTCGCACAAAAATTCACAGGATATCTTTTGTAACATCTTCGATCTTATGCTCGTACCGGCTCGCTATTATTAGTCTGAAGCATGCAGTCCAGGATCGATGCAGAAATCGCCCGTTGATCGTTCTGAGGGCGAAAATCTTGGAAACAAGACGCGCGGCGTGAAGATCGAGCACGGCGAAAAGTATTTTCCGAATACGTATTTTCTGGACTCCCTCTAGTTTGACTGTTTCTTCAAAAATATTTGTTTGATAACTTAAAAACCGCATTGTGCGGAAAATAACCTTTCTGTTGCAAATACTTCTTTAGGTGCGTTGCAGATTTTATGCTGTTCCCTATGGACTTAGAGTGGCCGATCAATCATGATTACTGGATTGCGGATTTTACGCATGTACAACAATAGTAAGAGAATCCAAGAAAATCCTAATTTATGCGAAAAGTACGCAGATTACTATAATAGTCACCAGCATCTCATAATCATCGCTTAAGCTTAAAAGAAAATGATAATTGTGGCTTGAAAAAATTTAAGTGCATTCTCCGAATGTTCATTAACAAATGCACCCAGTTTGAAATTACAATACTGAAAGTCGTTCTTTCAAAAAATTCCGAGAACAGCCTTGTATTCGGAACGTCAAACCAGAGAGACTCCATCACGAGTGGATGAAGTAGACTTTACAAAAAGACAATATACTTTCATTATGAAATATATTATTCCTAAATATTGTATATATATATATATATATTTATATGTATGGTTTCTCCGTCGCTGCGTTCGCATCATTCGCCTTAAATTAACAGTATTACGAGACAGATTGTCTTCCGTCGCTGCGTACAGGATACGCAAATCGTCGAGACGTACACACGAAAAAAGAAAGAAGAAGAAAAATCTACGATTACAGAAAAATATAGAAACCTATCTTAAATCCCTCGCTGCGGTTTGCTTCGTGTTCCCCGAGCATCTGTCGCGCTTTTCCGCGGGAAAAGCGGGACTGGGTCGCATCGTGTATCATCGCAGCGTTTCCGGCACAGAAACGCACCCAAAGATACTTCGCCGCGAAAAAAATAGAAAATGCTTTCGCAACGGCACGCACAAAGAAAAATGCGGTATTCTCGGCGGAAGAGCAAATACGGTCCGAAGACAAAACCAAAACGAATAGAGAGATTTAATGCGCAGTCGGAGCAAACTCAATTGGCTACTCAGGACCACTCGCGCCGGTGGACCACTACTTCAGACGTAGTTTCCCTTTTTACTTTTATGGAGCACGCAGATCTTCTCCTCCTCTTCGTTACTGCGACGTGGACATTACATGCGTCCTCTGCCTCGTCAATTAACACTACCGGCGCTTGAGTGTCGCTATTTTGCATTGCTTTACGAAAGTGGCCAGAGTGCATCGAGTTCAAACATAAATTAGTACGCTGCAGTCTCTGATAATCGTTCAGATTTCTAGCGATTTTTATCAGAATATACGAAACATCGAAAACAATTTCTTGAATAATTACCCGCGAATGCGTTCGTACTACCTCGATAATCGTAGATTGAAAGATTTGGAACCCGCCATTTTGTCGGCTCACGCGGTCCGGCGTTCTCGTGAAACGATGAAAGAGAGGCATTTTTTCAAATTAAATGCAGATTTTCTGAGATACGAAGATCAAGTTTAGATCATTTCTTCTTATTGTTTACTAGCTACGCACGTTTTTTGATCGTTAACAAAATACGAGCAATTGTTAATCTAGAAAAAGATTCGTGGTAGTTACTCGCTGCTATTGATCGATACACGAACGTCACACTTTCAGAAGAAATTTTTTGATCAGAGACGAGAATGAACGAACGTAATTGCGATTTATGAGATTCCAGCGTCGGCGGCGCTAAGTGGATATTAATTACATACCTACGTATGTTCGCTGAATTAAAAACGAGAAGGTGGCGCGTACGCGATCAATGAACGCGACGGAATTGATCAAGGAGAGCAAGAATTATTTATTGTTACGATTTTTGTAACTTTTAACTCGATACCTGGGAACGGACTCGTTGAGAAAAGTCCGATGAGATTTAATGAACTACGGATCAGATAATCAGCGCGTTATTAAACCTAATTAAGATCGAGCTCGATCTCTCCTTGGAAATAAATAGATACTTCGAACCGATTCTTCTAACTCCGGAAAGAAAAGATATTGCTCAAGATCGATGCTTATAAACTTCGTTTTGATAAAGAATCGTCTAATTTCTCTGAAGACCGCTTCGCTGCTTAGAAGACGAAAATTGATTAGGACATGTTCGTTACCACTGTACGTACGTAACTTGGACATCGCAATACTTAATCGTGTTGATAACGAGTTTGCGGAAGTTTGTTTCCCCATAACATAGAACACACACGAGTGGTATTGTGCTTGTAGAAACAGAGTAAGGGACGTAATGGTGGCAAATTGAGGGAGTCTGTGATAGCAAAGTGGAAGTTCCCTAAGCCCTGGAGCTTATGTTGGACAGCACTGCGCTAATTAATGTGATGCATTGCTGTCTACGGGCGAGACACCTTTTGTGGTATTCTACTCCTCGACACGCGCGCGCGCGTTTCACTGTGAATGTGTGTGAGACAGAGACAATACGTGCATGCGGAGAAGCTCCGTCCACCGGTAAAGCCTCGTGCGTGTTTCTTACATCGCTTCCTCCGAAAATCTTCCAAAATTCTATGCTAACAACGGAATATCTATGGCTGCTGGAATGGAAAATTCCCGCGAGTTCCCAAACACAAGTTGGAAGAAAATCTCTGCGACTTTCGCACCTCCTCGTCGAAATGATACGTAGAGAGTTGTAGGACACATCGCACCGTTTGAAAATCTGTTTGCTGTGAGGAGCAAAAATAATGTTAAATACTGCCCCTAGCAGAAAGTTTTCCGTCGAAATCGTGCTTCGTAAAAGATCTCTCGATATTCGAGAAGATGATGAGATAACATCGTATTGTCTCTATGAAATATAAAACAATACATTTCGTAAAATTTCCTACCGAATTTTCCATCCGCGTAAAACAGTTCTCTGTGCACGATGGCGACGGTGTTTTTTTTTCAGCCAGGGACAGTACCGAATGGCAAAGTATATCTGAGGCGTTTAGTGTACCAAAACACAATTTTATCAAAGTACAAGAGCTTCCAACCGATTCCGCTTTTACACGTCTACAATGGTTTTGAGATTGAACAGCTGAACGAAGGTAAAAGTAAAGTTGATCGGGGATTTTCGTCGTAGTCCTGATCAGCCGTTTGACTTTGATCCGACCGTATCCACCGAGGACCACGCGCGTGGCCGAGAAACTCGTCCTCCTACTTTCAAAATGTTCCTGAACGTTACTCCCTTAGACTATATAGTTATACCGAGCGTTTACGCAGTCTTACAAGGCACACGTATTTTTTTTTTCTTTTTATGTTTGTAAAATGAATACACATTTCGTAAGGCCACAGTTTTCCGAGACGTAGGCACGGTGTATACAAAAAATGAGAGGAAATCAATTCCATTTCATAATAGAAGTTACTTTGGTAATGACTAGGTCATGCACTATCGCTACGCAACAATATACCAACGACTCCGCTATATCGTGCGACTGGCATCTGGTTCTCCCGGCAATGCAGCGAGAAGAGAACCGGCGCCTCATTATTATGGCTGTTCGCGTATTGCTCGCGCAGATACGCACGTTTAGGACTCTATGCAGTCGAACTACAGAAGAACGAAGCAAAAAAGAAAAAGAAAAGGTGCTCGAGAAGATGGTCTCGCTTTTGATTCTGCGATCAGTATCAATTTCCGATATGTTCCACCCCACTTGATTCGCTGTAGACGTCGGCTCCTTCGTCGGTTTCCTCGTTCTTCTCTATGGTTCCCAGCAAGTTGAGAGTTTCCATTGACAAAAAAAAAGAAAGAAAGAAGAAAAACAGAACCGTTTAGACAGTTTCGTGCCGCGTGGATCACCGGTGACCAAGAACGATCTTCATACTCAAGGAAACTATCTCCGACCTACAATCTCACGATACAATTAAGCTAAACGGTTCTTCTACATATCAGCCGCACGCGAATTTCGCTATTGAGAGAGCTTCACTCTTTTGAAATAACTTATAATATCACTATACAACACCCATATAGCACGTTTACTACTACAATCAGAATGCAGGCCCCTGATGACTCGCGTTGGATTTCCAAGAGCGCAGTAACGCCGCGTTAGTCGGTCAAGCCGTATCCGATCATTTGTCAAGGAAGGCAGTTCTTCCTTGTTCGATTCTAGTACTCCGTTTCTAGCATTAAATACAACAAACCGCAGACTCCACAAAGCCAGTCGAAGAGAACTGGATCTACCAAAGTAAGATCTAGTACAACTAACGAGGCGCTACTGCGATTCGCCTCGACTGATATGTACCGAACATTTGAAGTCACCGGTGTCGAGCCACCGGCACGTAACGCGTTAAACAATCAAAATCCTCCTGGTGAAGGGGTGAAATACGGGGGCGGTGAGGCAATGCTCTTGATGGCTTCCGTGTCCGTTCAGAAAACCTGTCCCAAGTCTGGCGAATCAGAATTGAATACGATAGTTGCTGGGACGCGGTATGGACCTGGCCTTGGATGGCGGCAGCGAGGACGTAGAGGCTTCGCTGCTGGCTGTGCCGCCGGAGTCGCGCCCTCCGCTTTTGCTGCTGACCGTGCTGCCGGTGCTCTGGCCCCTGGAGCCTGTCTGCTTCCTCAGAGTGCCCTCGCTGAGGCGACCGTATTCTCCGATGCGACGAGACGGCGGCGGGATCAGCGAGCGGCTCTGGGTCTCCCTGTGCTTGACCTCCGTGGTCGACGATGGCTGCTTCTTGCGGAGATTCTCGCCCTGAAGACGCTCGTACTCGTGGCCAACCGAGGTGGACGGCTTCTTCGGCACGCTGCTGGGCACCAACGGCTCCGTGGCGAAGGACTTCTTCCGGCGCTGTGCCTTCGTGTCGAAGCGACCGTACTCGATGCTGCAGTTGCCAGCGTCCCGCACCTTCATGCTCGCCGAAGCGTCCAGGGCTGGACCCGGGTCCGACTTCTTCCTGGCCTCCGTGTCGCTGAGCCGACAGTAACGCGAGTTGGTCGACTTCAAGGTCTTCGGGGGCCGCGGCAACGAGCTGGGTGGAAGACTTCCGGCGCGCCGGGGCTCGCCCTCCTGCATCCTCTGCCTCTGCGAGCTCCGGCCTTGCTTCTCCAACAGCATCATATCCTCGGGCTTGCCGTCGGACAATCGCGAGACGGTGCCCTTCAGCCGCGAGGCTGCACTTGCGAATTCCATTATACTCGGCGAGACCTCGCCCCCCGAGTCGTCCAACAGACGACTCTTGCTTGAGGCCGTACTCGAGGTACCTGTGCTATCTACACCCGCCAATAGTGGCTTGGGTATTTTTCCTTTTCGCGACGCAGTGCCTGGATTAGAGAATCCTGGAAAACAGCAAAGTGCCCGCTGAAACAAGACAACAAAACGGCTGCGTTGGAGAGGAGATCCGGGACCTGGAACGGGGTTAGTGCTCGCCACAACAGCGCATGCACACTCTGGGATCGATCGGGATTTGGTGGCGGGTTAATAATGGTTTTAGGGGGACAGTCGGTTTTGTTGATTAGACTAGGGCCCGTCCGAAGAAAGATTCGACTTTCGCGACTCCCGTTTGGTCGACTCGCTATCGCGCTTTAGCAGTTTTGGAACTATGACTAATGTGCTGTGAAAAATAGCAACCCTGGTAGAGTGGTGGGAGAGGATGAAGATGATGGATGCAAACCAAACGTGAAAATTAATTTACTATGTTCAATTTACAAACGAAGGTGATACGTCTTCCTATTTCTTAGAAGTCAGTTTCGTTACTATCTTAGATTCACAGAAGAACTGGCTATGAAAGTTTCTCGAATCAATTCTTTCTTCAGGGTAACGAGAATATGTTACGAAATTGTGTAGTTAATTGTAAAACGCAAAAATCAATGGCACACAAAAAGTTATATTAGTGAAAATACAATTTTACTGGGTGTTTGTGAATAAAAATAAATGATGAATGCATATTTTACATATTGCCTACAAAAAAAGGTTTTGTAACGTTATACAAAGTTCGCTTTTTATTATTATTTATCCTGCTTATTGTGTAAAGGAACGTAACGTTTCATTTTTGTTACACAAAACGACATGCCGGCAGCATGACAAAACAGTGCTGTATAATAAAAAGCTTACTTTCTATAGTTCCCATTAATAAAAGAAAAGAAAAGAAAATATAAAAGTTTTCACAAAAAATAACGAATTAATGGAGCACACATTGTTATTCGAATAATAGCATTCGTAAAAACGATAAAAGAATAGTTAATGCGTCGATGTGTCACTATCTAAACGGTAAAGTAAACTATTTCTAAAAAAATGTTCGATTATCGAGATAGAGAGAGAGTCTATCGAAGCGAACGTTTAATTCTTTTAAAATAGTAATTACATTGAATTAAACTAATGAAATAGATAATGAAATTACTCCATTTTATATTAAAAGATACACATTAACTATTCTCGACTAAACTACTAATTGGAACATAACACTCGAATACCTTTAACCGTACAATCAGTAATATTTTCATGTTCTGTATCTGTAGCTATGAAATAAATGCTAAAGGATATAAAATACAATCGTCGCAAAAATAAAAATATTAAGTTGTCCGCAGATGATATGAAAACTAAAATTCTGTGAAATAAATGTGAAACAGTGAATAAATAAAATTATTTCCACTATTTTCGGCCGTTCTTTGTACAAATTTTTACGTAGAAAAGAAAAATGTGGATGCTAGTGACTTGAAAATTATACATTTACTTGTATTGTGCATACCTTACTAAGCAGCTGGGAATCTAGCTCTTTTAACTGATCATCGAGACTTTTATTTGTTTGCTCGAAACTGCCTTGCTTCCTGTACTTATAGCTGTCCGTAACACCATAAGAACCAGTACTTCCATAACCACTGCCTCCACCCAATACACTACTCACTTTTAAATACAAAAATACGAAATTAGTTACTATACTTTGTAAACGAGTTACTAATTTACAACTAATTAACGGATACTTAGACATTTATAGTATCAACTTTCGTAATAGGAAATAACAATTTACCAAGTTCTGGCGTGCTCGTCAGCGCATTGTGATGTTCAGCCGATGTACTTGAATGGGACGAATGAGCAGCAGGATAACTGCCAACGCCACTACTGCTACTACTATCCTTATCGTATGTGTGTTTCTGAAGGACTCTGATCATTGCATCTCTCTCAGCCAATTTTGATTCTAAATCTTTCATTCTGTTTAACATTAAAATAATTTTACGCAATTATTGAAGCACATTTAACGAATTCGATGAGCGGATGTGCATAGAAACACTTATTACCTAGATTCAAGATCAGCCAATTTCTTTTGTGCAGCATGAACTTCATCCATGTGTCTCATTTTTTCGGACCGTGCTTCCGCGATTAATTTCTCAGCATCTTGGCTCGTTTTCTCTAGTGCAGCTATTTTAGCATCCCTATTACAAACCATGCATCGTGCGCGTTCGCTTTAGTAAACTTATTACTTATCTACGTAATTTAAAAATATCTTCTTGAATTCACAAGATAACTTACTTCGGAAGACTAGCCGCATCAATTGCGGCTTGCCTCAATGCGTTTTCCTCGAGATAACGCTGTTCCCATTTCGCTACATCACCCTCCAGTGACATGATTTTCTCGTCTCTTTCGCGTATTCGTCGTTTCAATTCCGCAATCGTTTCCCCGTCGATACCATTGATACCGCCGCCGCCGCCGCCGCATTCTCTTAATTCCTGTTCTAATTGAAGCCTCAACTGTCTTTCTGTTTCCTCTCTTCTTTCGCAGGACGCTTGAAGAGAAGACAGAGCCCGTTGAAGCTGGCCAACTCTATCCACGTACACTTGTTTCTTCCGACTCTGTTAAAACAACAACATTGTAACATCCGAGTCAGAAACTGTTTCGTAGTTTAATTAAAACTATTTACTTCGTCTTCAAGGCGCACAACGTTCCCTTGTGCATTAGTGAGAGCCGTGTCTAAAATGTCTATGTGTGTACGCTGCTCTTGCAACGTTGCCCGTTGCGCTGCCAATTCGATCTCTTGTCTTTCTTTCGCCGCGGCTAATTCTTTATCTGAAACGAAATCGATTGTGGATAATAAATTTAATGAAAAATATACTTTTGTATTTTCCGGCTTAACGTAAGAAAAATAACGCACTTTGTGTGATCAATTGTGCAATTAGTAATTCACGTTGAGTTAATTCTTTCCTCATAGATTCTACGACGGGCGGACTATCAGTGCGTGCGGACAATAAATCTATCTGATCTCTCAGTGCGCGGTTTAATTCGGTTAATCGTCTACAATCGTTTTGTAGCCTCAATCTAGCAGCTCGTTCCAGCTTTTCTCTACGCTCGCAGGACGCCGCTAATTCCTCGTGCGCTCTGTGTACTTTTGCAATTTCTTGTTCCAATTTTTGAGATTTGGCGACCTTGTTGTAACACCGTTCTAATTCTAATTTTAAGGCACTGTTCTCTTGAATTACGATCTGAATCATTTCTGATGGAGGCCAAATTTCACCGGTTGCAGATTCTGTCTCCTCTCTCCCTTTCGTTTGAGGCCTGCAAAGAACGTTTCAATTACAACGTGGTTCACTGTACATTTATTAATAAACCTCGTATAATTACCGTGGAGAAGTGGTTCGCAAGTTATAGTTGTCGATGTCTGGTTTGCCAATTCTAGATAAATCAGGCTGCGATCTCGACAACGTCAACTTTTCCATTGGCCCAACAAGTCTGGATTTATTTTTTAACGGTAGTAAAACAGACATGTAAGAAGGTGGTGGTCGATCTTCGGATTCACTGTCATTCTGTTTTGCTCTATCACCATCTCGCATTCGCATGTCTATATTTCCACCATTGTTTGTAAGTTTACTATACGATGGTACTTTCACTTCTTTTGCAAGATGTTTTAGAACCTGCTTGGTAAAAAATATCGGTATAAAGCATCGATTCCATCGAAATACCACTGTTAGTTTTGTTTGTAACGCTAATGAAGTCACCTGTGATTGACTCAAATAATCATCTGGTATATCTGTGATCTCTTGACACCCTCCATTAGTGGGTTGCTCGTAAACATGATCTTCGTGCGATAAATTCGATAAGGACTGCATAGTTGGGCTGTTAGAATGTCCTTTTCCACCACCATCACAGTACAAATAACCCATATCGCCATGCTCTCTCACAACACCTGATAACCTGTGCGTTAAGTAATTAGTACCAGTTAGACGAAATTGCTCACTAAATTGAAGTATAACGAAAAATTTGAAATAAGATTTGCTATTCGAACATTTGTATTACCTTCCAGATGGTACCCATGAGTTGTCATCATTAGCATTATGAATGATAAGTGTATTGTATGAACTTGTAGACACATCCAGACTACTTCTATTTGAGCCAACACTGGTACGATTACTTAAATTATCCTTCAAACTATTTCTATTAGAACCATTGATGCTGTCTTTAAGGCTATTCCGATTGGAACCATTCAAATTCTCTTTCAAACTGTTTCTGTTCGAACCATTCAAACTGTCCTTCAAACTGTTTCTATTGAGCACATTACCCTGGATTGCAATGAAACAGTTTACACTTATGTAACTTAATCACACCGATTGTAGTAATTCGTGATATATAGAAACAAGATAGATAGCATTAGGCAACATCCACACCTACTTCGTGGGCGATAGTATATACTATAAATTGTAGTTCAATACATAACAAAAATTATACTAAAAAATTAAAAAATGCCTTCTAAAAGTGGAAACATAAAATACCATTGAAATGATCGAGAGGTTTTATTTATTATTATAATAAATTATACTTACTTGTATATTTGGTATATTTTCTTTGTGACTGGAAGACCTGGATGGGCTTTGCTGCTGATTCTCTTGACCTTGGGGTTCTTGGCGAGCTGTATGCCTTATTACATATCGATCTTCATTGGTTAAATTTTCATTCGATGTTGAAACATCGGTTTCACTACCACTTAAGCTTTGTGGAAGACCTCCTACAAAATGTACAACAGAAATATTTTAAAAAGTACATAATAAAAAGTCAGTGCTCTAACGCGAAGTACATGTTTTTAAATAATTTATACCTTGCATTGATAACTGTTTCCTTTGTATATTGTTATTCGAAAAAGGCAAGAATCTGCTACCTTGTTGCAAAGAACTCATGTTTCTATTGTCTCATTTATGCCTTCCTAGTTTTATCTGAAAGTGTAATGTATCAATTATAAGCTTAATAATTTCATTTACATATAAATATACAATATTGACTGAAGTAGAAGTATTTGAAGTATTATTATCAACAGCAAACGTTTACAGCATTGTTTTAAAATTATCTGAATAATAAAATGACAAAATAAAGATATATTATTTTTTAGAGGAATGTGTTGAATAAAACGCTCGAATCTTAAAACTCTATTTTGTAATAAAAAAAATATTAATACTAAAACTACGAAACATCTTTTTAAATAGATTGAACAGCTGCAAACTTATTTCATTAAATATACGCAATCCTGCAAGTTTCACTTTCCCAGCTATTACATTTTCCATTAAAATCGGTAACAGATTAAACCAGATACATATGTAAAACCACTTTACATAATCGCGTTAAAAATATTCAAAAGTATATCAACAATTTAAGCGCAGTCTTATGCAGAATACTATCACTTCACTTTTCAACTGTTTTAAATACCCCATCGCATTCCTGAGCTTTCAGGTTGGAATTCGAAGCATTATATCGCAACCGCATTTACGTCGTCGTTCACTGTTCAAAATAATTTTACAAATACCTCCGTTTCGATTTTCCTCGAGCCCTGTACGCTACGAAATATTTTAAAAGCACTTCATCTCTTTAGGAACTCGTGGAGCAGGTGAACGAGAAGGATGCGGACAATTGTTCACAGATTAATCACACTCACACATCTTGGAACACTAAAAATCACTGGGAACGTGGGAACGTAAACCTATCCATGCATCTCTTATTTGACACTACGCGGTATTCGAAAACGAGAAACCGAAAGGGAATTATGCAGGGACCCGTGTCCACGAGAGAGACGGCGATATTATAGTAATGGTAAAGCAGAGCACTCTCTGACAGAGGTGTCAACACTCTGGAATGTTGATAATCCGGAGATATTGGATTTTTCGTTGATGCGTAACATCGCAGCGGGAAAATATTCGAGGTCCCGTGAACCGGACTCGTCTATGCGCATACACAGATTACAGAATATCCGAGAACGCTGCTTTTCCACGGAATCCGAATACTTTTATAGCTTTCTGAACTTGAAGGACTGCATAAATAAACAAAAGAATATCCCCGACGTGTGCCCGACGAGGATTTTCGCATGCTGCACGATCGAATCATGAATAGATGGCCATACAAGATTGTTCTCTAATTACTCACAGTATACGCAGGTGCAAAAACGGGATGAGTGTCGTAATTATTTCAATAAATTAGTACACTTTACTGCTCCACGCACGAGAAATAAAAATTGCTAGTTCCCGCATTCCTCATCAGGGTGCGACGTACACGAAAACGGGATGTACGCTCTTCCTGACTCTTCTAATCTTTCCCGACTAGTTTCTCCATCCGCAGATGATTCACTACAAAACAATGCACAAAAAAATTTCATGTTTGTGCCTGCTTTTTTTTCCTGCATCACAATCGCTATAAAGATTTCTTTCTTTTTTTTATCCACGAAAATAAAGATTTTTACGTTTTACTTTCGCAGCGAAGTTTTAGGCCGGGTTCATTGCTTTCTCGATATCGATAAATCAAAACGGAACACTTGTTACATTAATGTTGTTTTGTTCGATCACTATATGCATTTCCAGCTACAATCGAATGACATTGTTAAATAAAATGTAGATGCAATGTTGGCACATAAGAATTTATTCAACATTCTATTTTGAACACATTTTTATGCCACGTTCATTGACACGCTTTTTCAGATTCATTACGACCACCTCGGACAAAATTAATAGGAAATTATACTGTTATCTTATCTTCAACGTCTTCAGAAAATGTCATTATATGGACGTAATGGATTGAAATGTACAATGTAGGGAATACCTGTAAAGTATCAGTTCATTTAGAACGTACCTTAAGATTTAAACCTTAAGTCACCTTTGCATGTAGAGGATAAACTGTGTTTAAAAGTCCAGTAGCTCCAGTAGCACGTTGGTGTAAAGTGGTTGTCGGTAGCTTTCTGTACAAACCTGAAACATGTCCACTACTTGTAAATTAATGATGACATGTAGCAAAACACGTCAGTTTTGCAGATTGTTATACCCTCCCACATCGTTTTATTCCAACTCACACATCGTACAAAAATCGCGTGTATACGATAAATTGATAAGAACCACATTACATAAATCTTTTATCGACGGTAACTAGTAGTATGTTATTAACTGTAAGCTCTTCTGATTGTTACATATTTTCTACAGACAACAAGGTTTATTTATATTTATCTTGTGTTCTTTAGGTCAGTTAACTTTGCATTTTTCAACGTCAAGAATTTCAAAGTCTAGTACTACGACTATGGCAGAAGGTGATGTAAAAGAACTCAATGTTCATTATAAAGATATTATAAAAGCTCAGAAAGATGACAATGTACTCATTATTGACGTCAGGGAACAAAATGAGATTGATGAGACCGGAAAACTACCAGGAAGTATTCATATACCAAGTACAGTTACTTATTATATTCGTTACAATATTATTCTGTTTGACATTAAATATTAATTACTGTGTCATATTATTCCAGTGGGAGATGTATCTAATAATTTACTTAACTTGTCTGACAAAGACTTTAAAAATAAATTTGACAAAGAAAAACCTACAAAAGATACGAAGATCATATTAAGTTGTAGATCCGGTAAAAGAAGTGGAATGGTACAAGAGGAGATACAAAAGCTTGGATACAAAAAGTATTAAAACTTTGTTAATATTAATAAGTTTCACATAGTAAACTATATTTTATGTAGGTTAGAATCATCTAATTAGATATATCTATGTTTCAGTGCATATAACTATGTTGGTGGATGGTTAGATTGGGAAAGTAAAATACAAGGATAGACTTATCTACTCTTATCTAGTGAAATTTATTCAGCAATAAATTGTTATCAATTACTCAAAATAAAAATCGTTTAAATCGACTTTAATTAGTACTAGTTACATAATACGCGAGTTACGTTTATTAATTATATATATATATATACACATAATTCAGAGCTTGTATACATATAATTGTACATATGCAAACACTTCATCAATCATTCTTTACCATTACTCGATAATGTAAAATATAGACCATTCATTTTACACAAAATATATAATTGTCTTATTTACTTTTCTGCTCCTGTGCTAACTTCTGATTAACCATTTCCCTAAATTGTCCCAAAATAAGATTCTCTCGTTTTTGTCTTTCTTCTTTACTAAACATAGCCAATGCTCGTTTTTCGTCAGCAGAATAAATTTGGTTCTCTTTACGAATACGAACTGCTTCCATTCTCCGGTGTCTGCGTAAAAAAATTATGGTGTTAGAAATTCATTTTATATTAAATCCATTTAATTTTGTTATAGAATTCTCATAAAATATAATAGTATAGATTACCTGCTACCACTCATGACGTAACCAACGGATTCATACGAAGCAATTTCTTCAGAGGTTAAGCCAATTTCTCCTCTTCTAGGTATACGTTTTCCTTCCGCAACATACGCTGCCATAGCAGCACCTTCTCCAGGCAAAAGAGCTTTACCAAAGTCTTTAGCAGACAATGTTACATGTGGTTTTTGAACTGGACCTAATATGCTTTCATCACCGCTGTCATCGGAACTAGATCCCTTTCTAACTTTCGCTTTATCATTAGAGCCATTTTTTTCTACCCACTCTAATCCTTCCGATTCACTATCAGAACTAGTGTCTGATCTCTTTTTGCTCTTTTTTTTACGTTTCTTCTTTTTCTGCTTTTTGGATTTCTTTTCCTTTTTCATCTTCTTGCTTTTCTTCTTTTTCATCTCATGTTTTCTTTTCCTATCCTTTGTGATGATACTATCTTTGTGTCTGTTAAGCTCCTCATCTTCGTCAGAGCTGCCATTAAATGACAGTTGTTATGACATGAATAGACAACAAACATGTTATGATTGAATGTATACTTGTTTTTAGAAACTTTTGCGTTCCAGTATACAAACAAATAAATTAAAACTCGAGATCATGAGAATTAGACAGAAGCTGTAATTAATACGTACTCTTCGATGCGTGTTGGTGATTTACCCCAAATTCTGTCAACCCCACATAACCCAATTTGTTCTCTATCGCGTCTTCGTGCGTCCATCGTGATCGTCCAATATCAACTGTAGTGCCTTACCATAGTAAACCACTGTGAAGGCAACCAGGTAGAATTATGAAGCAGGTAAACAGTGCTGCCCTCGTAGTTTTGGTGGGAGTGGTCACGTGATTTTACGGATTCATACATAAGTGGTATTATCTAGAGACGTGTAGCTACCTAATAAATACGAGATGGCGTCATTGGCGTTTTCTATTAGGAATGAAAAAGAAACTCAATTTAAAACTACAATAACGCTAGCTGGATATATAGATATTCGAAGAGATTGGCGGCGTCTACGAATTTGATCGGTGGTAATATTGAAAATATTTGCATGAAATCTGTCAACATGGGAGTTAAAAAAATATTTTAATATAAAAAAAATATTCAGCATCTATGTAGTAGAACAATTTTTTCATTGTTGTAAATATTGCGATTAAAGATTCCTGTCACTTTTACCATAAGATACAATGTAAAATCCGGTAGAAATTATTTGTTCCAAAAGAAACATAAAAGTAGCGCCATTAGACGTAGTTGCAAAATGCTAAAACTGTTAGCGAAATTATCGTATGCAAATATTTTTTTAAAAACATCAAGTTGCTTCTTTGCCTATTTCGTAATATTTTACCCTGTCGATAATTTTGTCTATCAGTTTGAGTGTTTCGCCGCAACACCGAATGGCGCTATATTTATAATTGCAGGAGCAGATAATTCGTGCCGAATTTGACATTACACCTTATGGTACTAGCGGCAATAATCATTCGTCCTGTTAGTTTATAATAATAAATAAACTTTTGTTGCACGATATAGATACAGCAAATTCTTCTGAATAATTCTGTATCATCGGTATATTGTTTCAAATAACCATATGCTGACATAATAATTAAAAAGAAAGTAGAGGGGCAATCCAATTGGAGAATTGTCTTGATTATGTTTGATTATGGAATTTTCTGCTAGATATTTATTTAATTATTATATTATATTAATATTATATTAATATTATATATTATATATATTAGTATTACATTATTATATTATATATATATATATATATATTAATATTATATTATTATATTATTTAATTATTATATTATATTTTCTATATTTAAAACCGATTGCATGATATAAAAAGTGACTGTCGTACTTCACCATTCGCAGAGAACTTCAGATATGTCTCTAAAATCTAAAAAAGTTCCAGAGTCCGAATTTAACTCGTCCGTTACCAAAGATGCAACATTATGGCCGGAATGGTCTGACGCGACGTTAAATAAAGAAAACTGGCTCGGTCCTAAAAGTAACAAGCAATTGATTAAATTTAGTTGGAAGAGTCCATTTGTAATATTAATTGCAGATGGCACGGATGGGTTATTTGTGGACACGCGGCCCGTCGATTTGCCGCCATCGTTGGAATCCTCCGAATGGATAAGGGCTAAAAATTTGAAGAACCTAACTGTAGGTTTACTTTGTGCATAAATTATAGTTTGAAATGTTCTCAGACCGTTCCATTTGAACGCCTGGCAAAACTACAATTAATATTAACAATAAATCTAGGAACCGTTAGCAGTGTTCGTCGCCACTTCAGAGTATCCAGACCTAATCGCAAACAATGGGCACATATTGCACAGCGAAGTACGTCCAGGTTTTGCTAAAATGAAATGATTCATCATCGCCGGTGAATGAACGTTCGTTCTAATTGCGTTCGAATAAAAGGCAAGGACGAGTGCGTCCGGCATATAATTATAATTAATTATTAAATATTCTAACGGTGTCCATTTATTATCCCAAACTTGCCCGCGTATGGAAAACGCGCGATTCGATTAACAATCGGCGCGATACAATCGCCCCGAACATAATGATTAAAATAGTCCCGTGTTCGATCCGAACCGCGGCTCAATTAAAAACAACTTTTCAGTTCGCACGGTGGGTCATTTCCGCGCTAATAAACCTTCAGTATTGCGGCCGAGATGGATTGGAAATAAGTGGCGCGAACGACAGTTTCATTTGGAATGGGCGGCACCAATCATGGCGCGGCTGGATGCATGTGTATTCGATGAACAAAGCGGGCAAAGGGGCGCATCATCGGCCCACCGTAAATCCGAACGGTATGCATCGTTCTTCTCCTTTCTCCGTTAACCTTTTAGCTATAATGGCTACCGCGGATGTCATCTTTCAGAACGACACGCCACTATAGCGGCTTTCGCGGATGCCATCTCTCTGGACGACGCGCCACTATAGTGGCTTGCTCTAGTAGCTCACTCGCTCATCGTTTGAACCAAATAATCGTCTTCATACGCATTGTTTCACACTTCTTTCGTCTTCGCATCGATTTACAACAGTCTAACAGGGTGTCCCAAAAATGTCTCGCAATCCGGAAATGGCGGGTTCCTCGGATCATTTGAAGCAACTTCTTCCGTTACAAAAATTTTCTCCGGGGCACCGTTAACGAGTTATTAACGAAAAACAGTGCGCCAATAGNTATTAGTATTACATTATTATATTATATATATATATATATATATTAATATTATATTATTATATTATTTAATTATTATATTATATTTTCTATATTTAAAACCGATTGCATGATATAAAAAGTGACTGTCGTACTTCACCATTCGCAGAGAACTTCAGATATGTCTCTAAAATCTAAAAAAGTTCCAGAGTCCGAATTTAACTCGTCCGTTACCAAAGATGCAACATTATGGCCGGAATGGTCTGACGCGACGTTAAATAAAGAAAACTGGCTCGGTCCTAAAAGTAACAAGCAATTGATTAAATTTAGTTGGAAGAGTCCATTTGTAATATTAATTGCAGATGGCACGGATGGGTTATTTGTGGACACGCGGCCCGTCGATTTGCCGCCATCGTTGGAATCCTCCGAATGGATAAGGGCTAAAAATTTGAAGAACCTAACTGTAGGTTTACTTTGTGCATAAATTATAGTTTGAAATGTTCTCAGACCGTTCCATTTGAACGCCTGGCAAAACTACAATTAATATTAACAATAAATCTAGGAACCGTTAGCAGTGTTCGTCGCCACTTCAGAGTATCCAGACCTAATCGCAAACAATGGGCACATATTGCACAGCGAAGTACGTCCAGGTTTTGCTAAAATGAAATGATTCATCATCGCCGGTGAATGAACGTTCGTTCTAATTGCGTTCGAATAAAAGGCAAGGACGAGTGCGTCCGGCATATAATTATAATTAATTATTAAATATTCTAACGGTGTCCATTTATTATCCCAAACTTGCCCGCGTATGGAAAACGCGCGATTCGATTAACAATCGGCGCGATACAATCGCCCCGAACATAATGATTAAAATAGTCCCGTGTTCGATCCGAACCGCGGCTCAATTAAAAACAACTTTTCAGTTCGCACGGTGGGTCATTTCCGCGCTAATAAACCTTCAGTATTGCGGCCGAGATGGATTGGAAATAAGTGGCGCGAACGACAGTTTCATTTGGAATGGGCGGCACCAATCATGGCGCGGCTGGATGCATGTGTATTCGATGAACAAAGCGGGCAAAGGGGCGCATCATCGGCCCACCGTAAATCCGAACGGTATGCATCGTTCTTCTCCTTTCTCCGTTAACCTTTTAGCTATAATGGCTACCGCGAATGTCATCTTTCAGAACGACACGCCACTATAGCGGCTTTCGCGGATGCCATCTCTCTGGACGACGCGCCACTATAGTGGCTTGCTCTAGTAGCTCACTCGCTCATCGTTTGAACCAAATAATCGTCTTCATACGCATTGTTTCACACTTCTTTCGTCTTCGCATCGATTTACAACAGTCTAACAGGGTGTCCCAAAAATGTCTCGCAATCCGGAAATGGCGGGTTCCTCGGATCATTTGAAGCAACTTCTTCCGTTACAAAAATTTTCTCCGGGGCACCGTTAACGAGTTATTAACGAAAAACAGTGCGCCAATAAGAATCGAGTATGGCTGACGCGAGGCGGCCCAGCCAACCAGCGCGCGAAGCCCAGTTCCGCTCATTGGCTCGGTCGCCTCGCGCCAGCCGAGCTCGCCTCTCATTGGTCACTGTTTTTCGTTAATAACTCGTTAACGGTATCTCGGAGAAAATTTTTGTAAAGGAAAAAGTTGCTTCGAATGGCCCGAGGAACCCGCCACTTTCGGATTGCGAGACATTTTTGGGACATCCTGTATATTCTAACGTGAAGCTTACGGAACCATAAGAACAATCATTTGACCTAACTTGATCAAAATTAGACAAATACATTGCTCAACCAAATTATATTGTAGAAATATTTTGGATAAGTATTGGCCAACTTTGACTGACGATAACTCCGCAGAAAATCATCGTAGGATGATAAATATTGCTTCGAAATAAAGCTTGAAATTTCTGCTTTAAGACAGTCTTTCTAGATTTTCAGTTGACAGAATATACAGCATCAGACTCTGTACAGTACATATCAGACTCTGCCGTCCAGAATTCAGCCGTACCTAAAAGGTTAAGTAATTATTAGCATTGATCGGAACGTCGACGATCTGGTCGATTAAGATTGAAAAATCGCGATCTTCCTCCTCGAACGTTATTCATTTCTGCCCATTGGCTTCGGCGCATACCGCCACCGATTCTTCGATTATCCGCCTCGGCATTGATCCGTTTAGATCGACGCTTTTGTACTCGTTGTTCCCTTCCGCTAAATAACAATCGTCGCTTGGTATCTTTACATGTACGCACGAAAGGAAAGTACGTGGTGCGTTTGTACTTTCTGGGATCCTGGCGTTACATCGTCGTGGACGACATGATACCAGTGAACTCCAATGGGGCGCCCGTTTTACCCCGCACTTCGAACGACCACGAATTGTGGCCGATGCTTCTCTCGAAGGCTTTGCTGAAGCTGTGCTCTGCGACGTGGTCCGACGGTCGCGAAATCGTCGACTTCCATCCGGTTCATTGCCTAACGGGTAAAGTAAGACGATTGGCAGCGATTTCTCGAGAGGAGGGCGACGTTCCTTTTCGTTTACAGGCTGGGTTTGCCTGCGACTAGAGATCGGCTATCTGTCCCCGCAGGACAAGTGGGATTTCCTCAGGAAATACGCGGACCACTTCGAATGGAAAGCTGAAATCGAGAAGGGTTGGTCTCGCGACGCGTGTAACGACGCTCGCTACAATTTCTTTATATAGAGTGTCCCGGAACAATGTATACACAGCTCGAACGATTATAACTACAGTTTTGATTCGCATATAATTCATACTTAACCCTTTCGCTACGGGCGGATTTTCCGCCGCGGTACTTCTGCTGGACGGCGCGCTGCGACATCGCTGCACGCTACAAGACGCCGATCGTTGCGGGGGTACCGCAGCGGAGAACCCGCCCGTAGCAAAAGGGTTAATCCAAATAAAGTTGAACAAAATTGAAAAAAATAAGGCATATCTATTTATCCGTTGTTGAGAGAAAAATAAGGTGAATTAGCTTTCTGCAGTAAGCACTGACTTTATTCGCTACAAACGATCGAACTTATGGAGGGCCACTATAGTGGCCCTTAGTACCTCGATGGCATCTTATGGAGGGCCACTATAGTGGCTCGTAGTATCGAAAGGGTTAAATTCCAAAAGTGTCTCTGTTAAATAGTGTATACATTTTTCGGGGGGACATCCTGTAGTTTTAACCGTTCGCGAACAGAAACTCCGGAGCCGGGGGAGCCCAGCGAAGGGAAGAAATCCAAGGGAACGTCGAAGTCGAAGAAATCGAAGGGTACAGAGGACTCGAAGAAGGACACTGCCGAATCGAAGCAGTCCAAGGAGACCGGTCGATCGAAGAAATCGAAGGACACCGAGCGATCCAAAAGGTCCAAGGGCGAACGGAAGCCTGTGGTATTGGAGAAGCCCGAACCGGTGACCTTGTTCCTCGGGTTGGAGGACATGAGGACGCTTGCTTCGGGAACTGTGCCTGGACTGTCGCCTTGCTGGAGCCATTTCATCTACGTAGCGCAGTCTCGCGACGTTCCCTTGGACCCCAAAGACGTACGACCTATCTTCACGTTTCGCATAACCTTGTTCAACCTTGTTCATAACCTTGTGCCTATAGACATACGTCTCGTCGGGCATTCCGCAAGGTTCTCATCTGGGTCCTTTTCTTTTTTCTATTTTTGTTAGTGAGATTGCAAAGGTTTTTCGTTTCTGTTTCGTTTTTTATTGCCATTGATAACCATGACTGCACTGCTTTATTTCAACACGGTTTGGATAAACTTCTGAATTGGTGCATTTTATAAAAATTGTCGCTTAAACTAGATAAATGTTATACTGTAAGATATAATATTACTATATTCTAAGACACTCTAAGGCTATATTTAAGGTTTTATTACTTGTTTTTATATATTATATATAGTTTTATTACTTAACATCGCATCGTTTTTACAGTCCGTAGAAATTCGTCACATTAATTTAAGGAATTGCGGTTATCTTATTATACTTTAAACAAATCGTCGCTTAAACTAGGTAAATGTTATACTGTAAGATATAATATCATTACATTCTAAGACACTCTAAGGCTACATTTAAGGTCTTATTACTTGTTTTCATATATTATATATAGTTTTATTACTTAACATCGCACCGTTATTACAGTCCGTAGAAATTCGTCTCATTAATTCAAGCAATTGCGGTTATCTTATATCTAACCTCCTGTATTTTTCCTTCGTGTATAACTTCTCGTATATATCCAATAAATAAAACCAGTAAAAATGGCGCAGGTGAAGCCACCCCTGGCAAGATGGAAGCTGTTCCGCTGGCTGAAATGGGCGATCGAGATGGGAATAATTGACCCGGTCGAGTACTTCGTCCCGATCCGTTCCCTGAAGATCGTCAGTCCCCTGAAAGAATTCAACGAAAGCGTGGTCGGCAAATACACTGCGATGACCGTTGACGAAACCAACCGAGAAGTCACCGCCGATCCTGCACACACATCGGAGAAGTCCGAGAAGAAGAGCCGTCGCGACAAGTCGAAGGAGTCGAAGAGCCAGAAGGAGTCGTCTAAGAAGTCGCCAGGGAAGGTCGAAGAGGCCGGGAGGAGCCTGCCGGACATCAGCTTCTGGGCGGACTTCAACAAGCTGGAGCCGTACATCAGGGACGTCCACTTCTTCTACAAGCTAGACTACTTCGACTACACCGCCAGAATCTCGGATCGCTTCCGAGGCGCCGAAGGAAGCGTTCAGAAACCGGAGTCGAAGAAGAGTGGCAAAACGGGGAGCAGAGGAGCTTCTCCCGTCCCGGGTACTAAGGAGGAGACGAAGTTCGTGGACGTCTATCACTGGCCCCGGGGGTTGTCGAGGACCAGGAACGAGCCGTTGTACATCTTCACCGACTCCACGGACAGCAAGTTCTTCCTGATCAGCTTCGCCACGTTCCAGATGCCCGGGGAGCCTCAGCTCCCGCCGACTAATTCCAGAGAGAACAGCATCGATCCGCCACCGGAGCCAGGCTTCGCTGAATCCGCGGCGAGCAGGGACTATCTGATCGTCGAGAGACACAGCTGGTTCCACAGACAGAAGTACGGCAACGACCTGGTCCACCTTCCGACAGCGGGCACCAGGACGACCGTGCTGGAGCTGGAGCCCGGAAGACACTTGCTGCGAGTTTACTGCGGCTTCGAGGGCAACTGCTTCACGACCATCTCCTCGGACACGATCTTCCACGTGGGCGACCGCCGGAAGATGTACGAGCTGATGACCACGGAGTCCGACACGATCGACCAGACGGTGAAGCACATCAGCAACTGCGTGAGCAACGCGTACCAGTCGTTCGGCACCGACAGGTTCCAGGAGGCGATGAAGATGTACTACAAGAGCTACATGCCGCCGGAGCCCGCCCAGAAGAAGAGGATCAAGATCTTCTACCACTTCATACACGCGTGCTTCATCAGCGAGGAGGCCAGGCTGATCAAGGAGCTCGTGCCGAAGGACGAGGCGCGAGGCATCCTGAGGGCGCTCAAGATACTTTTCCTGAATCCTTTGATCGGCGAACAGGTGAATCCGTTCTCGCTAGCGTTGAAAGCCATCAGGGACGGCAGCACGCCTAGAACCTCGATCGAGAGGAGCAGGCACCTCGCCGAAACCTCGATCGAGAACGGTATCCTGGACAAGGACTACTTCGCGTCCGTTATCCAGTCCTTCTTCAGGGGGATTGTGATCAGGAAGTACAAGCGGATCCACAGTCCCAAGCACGAGGAGCACCAGGAGGTCCTGGAGAATTTGCTGAAGGTGGTGGAGCTGTTCAATTACAACAAGAGGGAGTCCTTGGCCAGCCAGCTGTTCAGGTACATCTTGAAGCACTTCGACAGGCTCCGGGACATGTATCCGTCCTCCAAGGAGTTCGAGTTCACGATCCAGAAGCAAGAGCTGACCGGGACGTTGCCAGGACTGAAGCCGGGTCAGTGGACACCCATCGTCAGGCTGCTGGTGAACGCTCGCGTCCAGGAAACCGTATTCGCGAGCGTCGACCTGTTCGTCAACTTGCCCAGGTTATTTTCAGCATTACTTCGATGAACAGTTATTTAAACAGCGATTCGAATGAAAGGTTTTTGTCGCAGGGGTTACTGCGACGGTTTATATAAAATAATCCGAGAGAGTTTTTTTGGTTTTTATATAACGAGAACTTTAATATAACTTGTAACAAAAGGCGATGAGGTACAGTGTGTAGAAGGTAAAGGTAAACGAGTGACGGATGAGACAGAAATATGCACACGTTGAGAGTCGGAGGAAAACTTGCTAACTGACTTCTCCCGGTCGAGAGGTCCTCGTATTTATTGGGGAGAACGTATTGAAATTGGTAAGGGAAAGTCCTTGGGAAGGGCGAAGGCCTTTCCCGAAGATTTTCCGACCGGGCTGATCCGGGACCTATGGTCCGAAGCTGTGTCCCAACGTTTTTATTGTTTTATTGCGGTGTGTACGCCTTGCGTCAGGAAAACCCGAAAAAGGCATATGCACACCCCGTTTTTGAAGGACGTGTCTTTTTATGTCTGGTCCGCCACAGGTTAAATTGTCTTTATTCGTTATTCGAACGTTCGGATAAGAAAAATGTATCTTTACTCGTCGGATAAATTCCCGACGAACGAAATCATTGGGTTGTCCGGAAAGTTCGTGCCGATTTTTTCGGAAAATTAAAACGCAGCTCATTTAAATATTGGTATACATTTATTCAATTATACAGGTACCATTCTGTTCCACAACCTTTCTCCATCTTTTATGCAGCTTGAGAATTCCGTCCTTCCAGAACCTCTCAGGTTTTTCGGCAAAAAATTTGTCGTTCTTGATCTTCAAGGTCGAAATTTCCAGTTTTAAACCGAGCAAACCACTTCCGTACAGTTCTTTCGGCGCCAGCATCCTCGCCGTAAACAGCGCATATCTTATTTGCCGCTTGTGTGGCATTTTTGCCCTTTCGGAAAAAGAAAAGCATTAAAAATGCCTGTAATGCACTTTATTTGCCACCATATTCTAAGACGTACAAAACTGATGAAAATGAACGAATCGTAACCAAACTTTTTTCTAAATATGGCTCAAGTTATCTCTTTTAGAATATGTACACATGTCATTCGTTTTCAATAATTGTGATATATTCAGTCAGGTCTCTCACGCTACCTACCGAAAATCGGCACGAACTTTCCGCGGACAACCCAATATTTATTCGGTACTTTCTTCTAGCTTCTATTTTCATTTGGATAATCGTTTCGCCGAATTCTGCAGGTACTGCGTGCGCGTCTTCAACAACGACACCAAGCAGGAGATGCTGCGGGTGGTGAACAACGTGGTGCCGTCGCGCTACGAGCACACCAACTTAGGGTACACGGTGCTCGCCTACGGCTGGGCCGACGATCAGCCAACGAGAGACGCGCCCTGGTCCCTGCTCGTCGTCACCAAGAAAGCGGAGCCGGTCTTTTACACCATGGACGACAGTCCGTCCAGCAAACTGCAGGCTCCTCCGCTGGTCACCCAGGAGCTGAGCAACTACTACATACCCAACAACAGGGGTTGCATCGCGAAGTGGATCGCTCGGGTCACCAAACCTACCGTGGCGTCCTTCCGGCTGAGCACGTCCTACGACAACGTGAAGATCCACCTGAGAGTGATGGACGCCGACGAGGATACACTGTCCGAGATAAACGGAACATCGGTGGTCATCCTGCCCCTTGCTTACCTGGGCCTGACAACGGAGCCCAGCACCGTGCACTTCAAATTCGAATCTTCCGGCGAGCGCAGACTGACTGGCGTCAGCGCTAACAACGACCAAGCAGAGTTCGGCAAAATGTTTACCTAGATAAAGATGTCGAATAACGAACGGAAGATAAGAAAATTTCGTTCGTTGTTCGAACGCGCGAATAAAAATGTTTCATTCGTTGTTCGAACGTTCGAATAAAAATGCATTTCCTTTATTCGACACTCGTCGAATAAAAATGCATTTCCTTTATTCGACACTCGTCGAATAAAAATGCATTTCCTTTATTCGACGAGTGTCGAATAAATAAATTCATTCGACGTGAATTTATCCGACGAATGATAATAATAATAATAATAATTATTATTATTATATATATATATAATAATAATAATAATTTATCCGACTCTATTCGTACTTACATTATTTATAACGTTCGAATAATGAAATGCATTTTTAATAAAAAAAATGCATTTTTATTCGACGAGTGTCGAATAAA